TTCATGTGCCTATTAGCCATCTGTGTCTTCATTGGAGAATTGCTTGTTTAGGTCTTCTGCCCATTTTTGGATAGCATTGTTTGTTTGTTTTTTCTTATTAAGTTGTATGAGCTGTTTATATATTCTGGAAATTAAGCCCTTGTCAGTCACATCATTTGCAAATATTTTCTCCCATTCCTAGGTTGTCTTTTTGTTTTGTTTATGGTTTCCTTTGTTGTGCAAAAGCTTATAAGTTTAATTAGGTCCCATTTGTTGATTTTGCTCTTATTTCCATTGCCTGGGTAGACTGACCTAGGAAAACATTGCTGAGATTTATGTCATAGAATGTTTTGCCTATGTTTTCCTCTAGGATATTTATCGTGTCTTGTCTTATGTTTAAGTCTTTAAGCCATGTTGAGTTTATTTTTGTGTATGGTGTGAGGGAGTGTTCTAACTTCATTGATTTACATGCAGCTGTCCAGTTTTCCCAACACCATTTGCTGAAGAGACTGTCTTTACTCCATTGTATGTTCTTGCTTCCTTTGTCAAAGATTAATTGACCATGGGTATGTGGGTTTATTTCTGGGCTCTCTATTCTGTTCCATTGATCCATATGTCTTTTTATGCCAATACCACACTGGTTTGATTACTGTAGCTCTGTAGTATTGTCCAAAGTTTAGGAGGGTTATTCCTCCAGCTTTGTTCTTTTTCTTCAGTTGCTTTGGCAATTCTGGTCTTTTGTGATTCCATATAAATTTTAGGATTGTTTGTTCTAGTTCTCTGAAAAATGTCCTTGGGAATTTAATAGGCATTGCATTAAATCTGTAGATCACCTTGGGCAGTATGGCCATTTTAACTATTATTTCTTCTAATCTATCTGCTAGAACTGTTCATTTGTGCTTTCTTTCCTTTTTTCCTTAATTTATCTATATGAGTCTTTTGAAAGAACTGTTTTATCAATTTTAATTGGGTTTTAGTTCTCTGCTTCATGAATTCCTTTTATATTCATTTCTTACTTTTGAGGTTTTTTTTCCCCTAGCTTCTAAGTTAAACATTTAGCTCATTTATTTTCACTGTTTCTCATGTTAGAATAAATAAATGCACTTAAAGCTCTAACTCTTTTTCTGAGCAGAAGTTTTATCCCTTCCCTTTGACCTAAAAATATTTTGGAAATGCACTGTAAAGTTTTCCAGTGTAAGGACTTTGGGGTATATCTTTTAGTTTGTGACATCCATGCGGCAGTGAACTTGGTCTTTTATTGAAGCAATTAAAACAGTTCTTCCTCTTCCAACCTCCCCATCCCCATGGCTTAGTGTTCTATCAATATTTGTAAACATGCTGTACTTGGTCAAAACAAGTATCTTCAGTATACAAAGTTCAGTGTGTTTGCAGGAGCCTATGTGTGCCCTTGATCAAACTTGTGACTTGTATTATTCAGAGGCTCTGCCCTAATTTTGTCTCCTTGAACTGTAGTTTTCCCAAAAAAACACTCTGTCCCAAACTGTAATTATGAACTTGCTGATTTTCTCTCCCAGTCTGCTTTATGCTCTTCAGAGCTATGCTGTGAAAAGCATAAAAGTTTGTGTCAATTACAGTTTGGGGGTAATGTTCTTGGTATGAATGTAAAATGTTGCCCTTTGTGGTTAATTTGTCTAAGTTAACAGTGCTAGACCAGCTTAATTTTTAAATTTTTATTATATTAATTTTTTATTGAAGTACAGTTACAGTGTATCAATTTCTTGTCCCAGTCATACACACATATATATATATATATATTCATTTTCGTATTCTTTTTCATTAAAGTTATTACAAGATACTCAATATAGTTTCCTGTGCTATACAGAAGAAATTTGTTTTTTTATTCTATTTTTATGTATAGTGGCTAACATTTGCAAATCTCAAACTCTCAAATTTATCCCTTTCCATTCCTTTCCTTTCCCCTGGTAACCATAAGATTGTTTACCATCTTTGCAAGTCTGTTTCTATTTTGCAAATGAGTTCATTAGTGCTCTCTCTCTCTTTTTTTTAGATTCCACAGATGAATGATATCATATGGTATTTTTCTTTCTCTTTCTGGCTTACTCTACTTTGATGATTTCTAGATCCATCCTTGTTGCTGCAAATGGCATTATTTTCTTCTTTTTTATGGCTGAGTAGTAGTCCATTGTATAAATATACCACAACTTCTTTACACAGTCATCTGTTGATGGACACTTAGGTTGTTTCCATGTCTTGGCTGTTGTGTATGGTGCTGTTATGAACATTGGGGTGCATGTATCTTTTTGAATTAGAGTTCCCTCTGGATATATGTCCAGGAGTGGGATTATAGACCAACTTAATTTTTGTTCAGATTTGTCAGGAACATCTTTTTCTAAGACTTTTTCCTTCCCTTTCTTTTTTTGAAAATAAAAATTTTAAAATAGGAAAAATGAAGAGAGAACATAACAGCATCTTCTTCCTACTCAGAATTACTAGCTGCTCACATTTTGTGCTGTTTCTTGTAGTCTCAGGCCCCATCCATCTCTCTCCGATTTCCCCTCCTCCCACCTGACCCTCTCTCTCACTTACTTTCCATTGTTATTCATTCTTCTGTTTAGGTGGTCACCTATGGACCAGGCAGATTGAACAGCCTGTGTCCATTTCAAGTAGAGCAAGCCTGCTTTTAACATTTGTGGGAAGCAGAACAACACTTTAAAAAGTTAAGAAATAAAATACGTAACAGCTAAAACCACCTTTCCCTTTCTCAGTCACTGCCTTCCCCACTGACTCAGTCTTTCTCCTGACTTTTAGGAGTTCATTTCAGTCCACGTTTATACTTTTACCTATCTATCTGTATGTCCATTACAAGCAATACATAATATCACTTTGTGTCGTTAGTTTTCAAAATGTGTATAAATGATATCACTGGGTATGTGTTATTCTGCAGCTCACTTTTCTCAAACACTATAGTTTAAATGTATCCATATGACAGAGATGTGCTGTGTTCCATTCCATTTCACCTCTACACTATTCCGTCTTACAGATGCTCCACGTTTTCCTATGTCCTTCTACTAATTTTTGTCGTTCCAGTTTTTCCTTTGCTATATTTGTGTGTAGGTAGCTGCTTTCACTGAAATCATAGTCGTGAGATCTGTCCATGTTGTTCCGTGTAGTTATAGCTCAGGCATTTGCAGTCACTATATGGGCTCCATTATGTAAACACGTGGTTGATCAGTTCTGTGGTACATGGACAGTAGGACTCTTTCCTCGTTGTGCCTAGTGTGAATAACAGTCCAACAGTCTTGTATGTGTCTTTTGGTGTGCACATGTATGCATTTCTAGTAAGTATACAAGTCATCTGTCAGTATCCATGGGGGGATGGTTCCAGAATCTGCTGTGTATACAAAAATCCAAGGATGCTCAAGTCCTATAGTCAGACCTCCACATTCATGGATTCAACATGCATGAATTAACCTGGCATAGATTTTTAACATAGTACGCAATCTGAGGTTGGCTGTAACCACGGATAGGGAACCTGAGAATATGAAAGGCCAACTGTATATTTAGGAGTGGAATTGCTGGGTCATAAGGTGTGCATATGGTTAACTTCAGGAGAGAGAGCAGGCATCTCTACAATGTTGCTTTGCACCGATGTACACAACTACCATAGTGTCAGTTGCTCTTCCTTCTTGCTAATAGTTGATTGTATTGTTAGACTTTTTAATTTTTGCCACTCCAGTCAGTGTGTAGTGGTGTCTCATTGTAGTTTTAATTTGCGTTTTCTCTTACAGGTAATGAGTAAGCATCTTTCCATGTGTCTATCAGCCATTCGGATGTACTCTTGTGAGGTGCTTTTTCATGAAATATGCCTTTTCCCTAATGGCTTATCTTACTGACTTGTAGGGATGGAGTCACATTTTGACTGAGGTTCTCTGTCAGATGTCCACCCTGTGGCTTGCCTCTTCCTTCTTCTAACTATCTTTTGAGAAACACCAGTTGTCAACTCTAGAGGAGTCTTAAAATTAGTTGTCTTCCTTCAGTGGTAGTGTTTTTGGTGTTTTGTTGAAACAACCTGTCCCTACTCTAACGTCAATACCTTCTAGAATTGTTCTTGTTTTATCTTTTACATTTTGATTTGTAATCTAACTAGACTTGATTCATGTGTGTGGGTGTAAGGTAGGGGTCAAATTTCATGTCCGTTGGTGATGCTAAATAAAATTTGCTTAATAGATCAAAAACTGGCAGAGCTGGTCAATACCCACAACTGATGATCAGCTGAGTCTCTACTGGACACAGTTTGCATTTCTGTGGACAAGAAGCACCTGCATTACTCACAATGGAAGGTGTAGAGTCAGGCAATCTGGACAGCTGATCACCTAAATATGTGTTGTTCTTTGAATTCTCTTTTGAACCAGTTGTAATGTTATAGTGGTTCCCTTGTTAATTGAGGAGTTTAGTAAATTTCTGGACATGTGTTCAGTTTTTAACTTTTAAGAATTATGACTTTATCCATTTTTTTAAAGATGATCTTTCAGCAGTTCTTATTCCTTCTTGGCTTTTTTATCTCCTAATGCAGGGGTTTATCATAGGCTGTTCTCGAGTTTTGGGACCAGGGTGACTAGTCCAATCATCAGTGGCTGAGAGTTGGGGGTGGGACTGTCTTAGGGAACACAGCACAGCTTCCTGGGCACTGGGATTGAGGCAAGAAAATACTATTGACAGTTCTAGGTACCCCATCACTTAGTTCAGAAATACAGTTTTTAATAACCTCACTGCTCCTCAAGCACAAGCCATTCTTCCAAAGACTGACAGATTGAAGAGTGGTCATGTATTAATTTTATAAACTTGGGTTTCTATATAGAGTGAGCTTTTGCTGAAAGTAAGACAGAGAAAAGAGTTCATAGGATAGAAAAAACACATTGTTTAAAAAGAACTGTAACTGTATCTATATCGTGGCTGAAGTATATCTTGTTTTATATGGGAACAGAAAAAGTGAATAGCATTTAGAAACAACAACAACAAAACAGTTCTGGGCAGACTGGTATATTCAATTAGATCAATTTTTTATTTTTTAGAACTGTGACAGAGCCATTTTATTTTCACATTAACAACTGCCAACATTTGTGTGGCTCATTCACATGATTCTTTACACCCAAGCACACACTCTATATAAAAAATAAATTAAGCTTTAATAATAAAACACAAGTTTACAAATGCAGCTTTTTAAAGCCTATTGAGAAATAAGAAATTTGGACATTTCTGAGACAGGATCACTGTGGAATCTGGCTCTGCAAGAAAGAAATATTTTGAGAATGAAAAGCCTGAGATAAATTATTGATTATTTTTCAAATGCCCGTTTGTAATCTGCGTATTTCTGAATGTACTTATTAACTTTCTGTTGGCAATAATACGGCTTTTAGGGTTGTCTCCAAAAAGTTAGATGTCACCTAAGTTGAAAATTAAGTTACATTTCTTGTAAAAAATTAAAAGAACTAAAGCCCGTTTTAGCCATCCTTATTTCCAAATACAATTTATCTTTAGTGGCCCTAGGTCAGCAGTCTTAAAATTTTATGCTCAGAGACCTCTTGAGTGAATTTTGAAAACCTGTGTATCCCCTTACACAATTTTAAATTGATATCTCAAATTTTTCATCACAAATTGTGGCAATGGATATAAAAGTGCTAGCATATTGTACATACTGCTGCATCTTTGGATAAAAGGTTATATTCTCCTTTCAATTTAGCCTAATTTTTCTTGGCATTTATGTTGTTTAGTTGCACATCTGTAATAAAATTACCTAGTATCCTATCATCATAAGGACCTACATATTTTTAAATTTCTTCTGGATTGAGCTTGATGAATAAACAAACAGTGCACATTTTAATAAACTGCTAAACAGAGTAAAATAGCATTGCCAATGTATCCCTTAATCAGTTTAAGAAGGCTTCTCCCCCGAATTGTTTTATCTCTGTGTTTATTATTATTATCTTTGTTAGAATGGCCACAGTTTTATATAAGGAAATGTTGATGATCCTTGTTCACACAGAGATGGGAACAGAAGGGGTTTTGTGGTAGCAGCGTAACAGAATTCTGTCAACTCCTTCAGAATTACATGCTACAATAAATACTCAGAAATATCGGGCATTCCTTCAATTTTGTTGACAGAATTGGGGACCACCAGAAGGCAGAAGGATTTGTATCCTGTTTAGAGGCTCTCACTTTCCAAACACCATATTTTGAATTTCACATCTTGAGTCATGCTCTGCAGTAAAACTGAATATGGGGAAAGATCTGTCTTCTTCATTAAGGGGAGAAAAGAGCACTGTCGCGAGCATATGGGTCTCAAGAAAGAGAACAAGAGGAAGATAAGGATCTGAAAATGGATTCCCTAAAACTGTTTCAGTCTGAGACTCCTTGGAAAGCTCTGGTAAACTGCTCGGGGTAGGCCTAGCCCAGTTTAAAGATCACTGGCCATGGTGGCTTGTTCAGATTTTATATTTAACTATGTCATAAAGCATATAAATTTATTAACTATGTTATCTTCTTAATAGAGCAGCACGTCCTCAAATGTATTCCACTGTAACTAGTCCCATAAAATATTCCTTGGCAAAAGGGTCAGAGATCAAATTTGGTAAATGTGCATTTTAGAATATCCACGCTTTACAGTAGAGAAATTGACTCTCTATACCCTAAATTTCCTGAACTCAAATGATCTAACCAGCCTCCTCTATTTCTTTTTCCATGTAATAACTGATATTCTCAGTAATAAGGGAAATGGTCAACAAAGACAATTTAACACATAGGCAGTCACAGTTTGGACCCATCAATATTTGCTGCCATCTTTCAGAATGTCCCTGTCACTATTCTGCTTGACCTGAATTGGCTCTGCTCATTACATGGCTGAGAAAGCACAAACTCAGCTAGATATTTTATACTTAGGTTATGTGGCATCCCAGCAGACTTGGGAAGAGCAGTGATGTCATCTGTGCCCTTAACTTTCTCTCTGTCTTTCCCAAGAATCTTAACCTCTCTGTGTCTTTCCTGAGAATCAGATTAATGTGTCACTCTATTGAGGGGAGAATTGGTGGTTTGAATGCAAATACTCTCTAATGGTGGATTCAAGTCACTGAAGCACCTAGGAGGAGGAGCCAGTTTTAGGGGAGAGGGCTCTTCCAGCACCATTTAGAGGACAGCCCCTGTCTTCCTCCTGCTCTTTCTCTGCATGGCTGGGTATGGATTTTACAAGAGGATCTGGGTCTTAGCTTTTTGGCTTTAAAATGGAATGAAGTGGGAAGGTTTACGTCTTTTCCTCACCCCTGGGCTGAAAACAGAGGTAATGATATCAACTCCTAAGCTGTGCAAAGGTAACAGTGGAGCCAGATGGAGCCTGGGGGGGTAGGGGGTGCAATAATTAGGCTCCAGTGGCTACCTGGCCAACAGCTAATGGGGCACTGGCTGCAGAATCTGAGACCGCCTTCCCTGCACCATTGAACTCAGTGCCTTTTTTTTTTGAAAGTTCCTTTGAACATTTGCTACCATCAGGAATGTTCTTCCCTCAGTTGCTGAATGCCAAATACAATAGCACCTCCAACTCAAGGAATAACTGTCACAACAGGCCTACCTTGGTCAGGCTGCTATTAGGTATACTCCTGGCTTCATGGAAGAGAAAATGTATTTCTTTTAGATGCACATGGGTATATTCCATGAGACCAGTAGGCATGGCTTTTTTTCCCCTTAATTTTTTTTTTAAAGATTGTAACCCCAGACTTCAGTGTAAGTGTGTGGCATATGGCAGTTGCTAAACTTGTGTGGAATGAAGGGATTTGGTCTTCTGATCAGATGGAGCTGGGCTGGTTTTAATGCACTCTTCAGCAATACCTGCACGCTAAGCCCAGGTAATAGGCAGAGGGCTGAGTGGGTTTCTAGGACACAGTTCTATCCAGGTAAAGCCAGGCTGACTGCTAGTTAGTTCTTGCCAAACACAATCACTTTTTCCCCATAGTTATACCTTTTTCCTCCCAAGTCGGTGCTCCATTTACTCTGATCAAGTTGAGACTCTGCTGACCACCCCCCGCCCAACACAAGCTATCTTTAAAAAGCCTTGTTAAATCATCACACTGTGCACATCATTAAGTGGCATCTCAAGATGTAGGAGAGAATCATCTTGTCCTGGGTGGGTCTGCCCCGTTGGAGGTGGCCACATCTGAGATTTTTCTGTAGTTTCCTAAGGCTCAGAGAGCCTAACTCTGATGAGTAGTTTAATAGTGACCTCTTATCCTCGGGCACTGCAGACAGAGCCTCCCAGAGGTTGTGCAACGGCTTGTGAGCAGACAGAGCAGGAGTGAGTCAGGAGCTGGCTGAGCCTTCAGGGCTCTCTGATCTCCAACTGGCTGTGAGTCACAGAGACCCCAAGATTTCCAACCTTGACCCAAATAACTCCAGTCACAAAGCAAGTCTCTGTCTTAATGAACAGATTCCACCCACGGCCTCCTCTCCTGGATGGCAGCAGGTCTGTCTACCAGCTAGATAGCTGGTGGTAAAGTGTTTTGACCAGGGGTGGGGCTAGGGCTCCTCTTTGGGCCCTGGTGAAATCCAGTGGCCTTAATTGTGAAATCGTTTGCCTCTGAGTTAAACTCCTCATAAGAATCTAACGAATTAGTTCCTTACATGTCGGGCTCATCTTCCATGGAAGTCAATTACCTGGGTCTTTAGAGGCCAGAAAAGGACTCCTGCTCGCTCTAAAGGTTGTGCACAGAAGCTTTTAACTGATCAAGATTTTCACTACTTTTATTCAATGAGGTTTGGAACACGAGAGGCCCCAAATGGGCATGTTTTGGGGATCCCCTATAGAGAATATAAGTTAAGAACTTGTCCAAGATGAAAAAATTAGTAGGAAATCACTCCCAATCATGCCAAGTGGGTCTTCTTCAGAAATGTCATCCTGATGGCAGGCCTGAAGAGAGGAGGACCTCACGGATGAGCGCGTTCCCAGGGTCTGAAGAGAGCACATTCAACACACGCGTGCACACGACACTCGGACACATGTCCCCCAGCTTCTACGAGTAAAACTTGCTGTTGCTGACTCTCTTCTCTCTTAACCTGAAATCAAACAGATGTCGCCATCATCCGTCAGCCTGAGACAAGGGCCCTGTGTGCTGAACTCTAACATTTCTCTGTCCACACAGGACATTTCGGGCTGGAGGGTACGTGGTGGAGTTAAGAGAGCTGGGCCCCTGGCAAGACACGAAACCTCTCTGGACCTCACTTTCCTCATTGGTCACCGCTACTCTGTAGGTGGAGTGGAGAAGAAAGGAGAATGATACGGGTAAGGAGTCCCCATGCTGTTTCCACTGGAGGCTGCTACTGGCATTTTCTTCTGGGTAGTTCTTTGTGGCGCATGGCTGTATGGCACGTGGCAGGACATCAGGCACACCTGGTTGTCCCTCCTTAATCAGAAGCATCCTTTGTTGTGTGTTGGGGGTGAGGGGATCCTGCTTTAGTTAGAACCACTGGACTAGCCCATTCTTGGGAACTCGAGAAGGGCTCCTTAAATGGTAGTGATCATGGCTTATTTTCACTATTACATGGATGTGTCTTTCTCCTGAGGACAGTTCAACTTAGGGAAGATGCAGGTGCTGAGGTTACTGCTATAACTAACTTATAGAGCAAAGAGAAATAGTCAAGGGTATCAGGATTTGAAAGATGGAGGCCTTCCTTCCCTGACTCACTGCCGGGAGGATCTGCAGGTGGGAGGGGCTGACGTACCTGCGGTTGCACTTCTCCTGGTACAGCTGCAGCTGGTTCTCGTTGACATTGAACTCCCTAACGAGGGCATCCCGGGTGGCATTGCGCAAGTTTTGGTGTGTGTCATACAGAAAGAGCTGGTGGTTGAGCTCTTCCTGGCGCCTCCGCAGCTGGCGGCAGGAGGAGTAAAGCTCCTCTTCGCTCTCCTGGAGAATAAAGGAGAGAATGACCATGTGGGGATGGTGTCTTCCAAACCAGAATGGAGGACACAACATCTGGAGGGTGTGATGGAAGTGAGCACAGGGCAGAATGATCATCTGCTGGGATTTTTCCCAGAAAATCCCAGGCCTTTCATCACCAAAGATAAACTCGCAATTGTTTATCCCATGGAAAGCAAGTGGTTTAGAAACCTTTGGTTCACAATAAGAGGTAGCTTTATTGTAAAACCCTGAAATAACAAATGTATTGCCCAAGGATTCTATTTCTTAATCAGATCTAATCTGTGTCACTTTCTGGCTCTCATCCAAATGTAAAAGTTCTAACAGCTGTGTCTTAAAGTAGCATGCAGCAGGTGAGGGACAGGGCAGCCTGGATAGAAAGCAGGTTGGTGGCTGCTTGTGGGGTAGAGGGAGTGGAGACAGCTAATGAAGGAGTTTCTTTTCGGACTGATGAAAATGTTCCAAAGTTGGTCATGGTAGTAGTTATACAACTCTATGAATAGACTAAAAACCACGGAATTGTATTCTTTAAGTGAGTGAAATGTATGATGTATGAGTTACATCTCAATAAATTTGTTATCCCACCACCACTAAAAGAGCCATGGTAACATAGGTTACCCCCGCCCCAGAGATGGGCACTGACTCAGTTCTAGCTAGTAATGATGTCTTGTTCCTCTGCTACCACCACCTTCAGGCGTGTGGCCCAAGTCAGGTCAGTTAGAAGTATCCATGGAGCTTGAGTTGGTACTCTTGGTAAACAGTAAGTTTCTTTTCTTGGGGATCAGCAGAAAGAGTGATGAATGTTTCCAGTTGTGAGCGGTCCCTTTGCTATCATGTAAAGAAAGAGTGGGAAACAGCCACCAGTAGAGCACCTGGATCCAGCCATGACTGAAACAAGTCCTATTCCTGAGTCTTGCAGTTGTCTGAGCCAAAATAGTCACCCCATTATGCTATGAGAAAAGAAGTCTTATCAGAGAAAGGAGTTTGGATTTCAGCATGGAAGGAGGAGGGAGTGTTACCCCACTGATGCCTTTAAAAGATCTCTGTCTATTGTGTAAAGGACAGCTACTCAGGAGGTCAGTCTAGTGGCTGTTATTACTGATGGAGTAGTTAAAGTGAGAGACTCCAGTGCTACAGAAACGTGCGTCAGTATACACAAATGGCTCAGACCATACCTTGCTCTGAAATTCTTCTCCCACCATAACGACCTAACAAAACATCCTGGTCATTCCCCGGGATAACAGGTAGGAGTCTTGACTCTGAAGAGTGGGGAGAGTGATGCTCAAAGTTATTCTGGCCACTCACAAAGGTGCAGGGAGTGAAAAGATGACTGTCTTTGCATAAGGAGTGGAGATAAAATGGAGATTCTCTGGTGACTAATTCAATGTATTGAGTGAAGCATTAGGAAGAGTCAGTAATGACATAGCTTAAATTTATATCCTTCCTCAAGGAGGCTAGCTTTTCTTCCTATCAAGAATAAAGCAAAACACAGGGGGAGGGTAGAGTGTGTGCCTAGCATGCACAGGCTCCTGGGTTCAATCCCCAGTACCATCATCAAAAGTAAACAAGCAAACAAACAAACAAACCTAATTGCCCCCCCTCAAAAAAAAATAAAGCAAAACAAAACAAAAGCTCCGTTAAAGTCTTCACACTCTCCTACAGATGGTCTCTTTTCACCTTCTCCCTGCCTAGACAAAAATAATTTCTCTTGCTTTCATATATATAATGACTTAGGAATAAGGTTAAGGTGAAAATTCATTTTTTCTGCTAATGCTTCTCTAATTGCAGGCCTTTGTCTCCTCTTTGGAATCCCAAAGCATTTGTAGCTGTTATATAATTCAGTCTTTAGTAGTCTCTATATAGGATAGAACATTCAGAAAAGCACACAAAGCATATATACAGGTGAATGAATAACTCTAAAGCAAACAGCTATGGAGCCGCCAACAAGTCAAGAACTAGAGCGTTGTCCACTCTCTGCACCCTCCTTCCCTCTTAGAATTTTGTGATAATTATTTCCTGGCTTACTTTTGAGTCTGAGTTGTCACACATAAGTTGAGTTTTTCTTTTCCAAGTCAATGGTTATTTCGCTTTTTCTAATATATGTATCTTACCAATTGCTTTCTCACCATTGATTCCTTTTTTTTTAAATAGCTGTAGCTGTGCCTTTTCCAGAATGTCATTTGGTTGGAATCGTATAATTTGCAGCCTTTTCAGACTGGCATCATTGATTCTTGAAATACATTCCTTCTTGCTTATATAAGAACTATGAGCATTCTCTTAGCAAAGTCTGTTAGTCCTAAATTTATCTGTCCTTGTATATCTGAAAATACCTTCATTTTTCCTTCAATCTTGAACGGTAGCTATTAGGATATAGAAGATCTAGACCTACAGAAGATGTGTGTCTAAGGCATTTTGACGATATCCTTTAATCTTCAGGCTGCTACTTGCTAAACATGGAAGCACTGCTGTTATGTGTCAGTCCTTCCTAGGTAATCTGTATTTTCTTTTATAATTTCCTCTTTGTCCTGGTATTCTGCCAATTCAGTACAGTGTCTATATGTGGATCTATATTTATACTGCTGTGTTTATAGTTGGAGGGTGTTTATCTCTTCAGTGCTGGAAAATTCTCAGCCATGAATATTTCAAATATATTATGTTGGAGCTTCTCATTGTGCTTTATTTTCCCCTTCATCTTGCTGTATGAAAGCAAATTCCCAAATCCAATCTTCACATTTATTAATTTTTTCCTTAACTGTATCCACCCTGGAATTTCCCACTAAGATGTAAAAAAATTTTTTTCAGGATTTTTCAGTTTGTATTTCCAGTTCTTAATTGGTCCTTTCACTCCCACATGTTCTTGATTAATCATAAGAAGGGTTGTTCTTTTAAAAATGTGCGTCACTCATTGGGTTTCTCTCTAAAAACTTTTTTTTTTTTACTTCAAAGTTGTCTTCAGGTGCACTGGAGTGGATTCCCTGACTTTTACATTTGTTAAGCTATATTAGCATTATTTTCCTTGAGTGTTAAAATTGCCATGTGCCAGCTCCAGCTAACAGAAGCAATAAAAAGATCGTGGTTTCCAGGGGCTTGGGGAGAGGGAGGGAAAGAGGAATGAATAGATGGAGCACAAGGGATTTTTAGGGCAATGAAATTATTCTGTATAATATAGTGGTGGCTACATGTCATTATGCATTTGTCAAAACCCCCAGAATGTACAATTTCAAGAGTGAGTTTTAATGTAAACTATTGACTTTGGTTGATAATTGTCCATGTTGGTTCATCGATTGTACCAAATATGCCACACTGATGAGGGGTGTTGAGGGTAGGGGAGTATATATGTGTGGGTGGGGAGGGCTATGTGTGAACACTCTGTATTTTCTGCTCATTTCTGCTGTGAATCTGAAACTGCTCTAAAAAAAAGTCTATTAGTAACAACAACAACAAAAACTTGCCATGTGCCAGCTCATCTTGAATAGGAAATTTCTTTCCTCCCTGAACCTATGCGTTGGCATCTGGTTTTCTGAATGTCCTAAATGGAGGACTCCCAAGGTCAGGGCCAGCAGAGTGTTAGGGGGATGACCTAGGACTCTGGGTTCTCAGAAATACTGCACATCTTGTTTAGGTCCTGGCCGCAGGGCTGTGTCTGTTTTTATCCCATCCCCTCAGGCAGGCAGCTGACTGCTGGCCTGAGCCCTGGGCACCTGATAAATCTTTTTCTGAAGGGTGTTTCAGAAAAGAAGCCCACCGTGGCCCAGGCAGCCTGTCTGTGTACAGCCAATGTACAGTTCTTATTGCATTAGCACACAAAAGTGAAATACATGAATTACATATCCAAACACAAGGAGTTATAAAAAGGACAGAAGGCTAAGGAAAGCAGACGGAATCACTACAAATAAACATAGAGATGGCTGAATTAGAGAACTAAAAAATAAAAATGTAAAATAAAGGCAAGAACAAGGTTGTTTTAAACACAAATACCTAGAGAGTCAATGAAGTAGATAATTCATTATCTAAACTAATCTAGGAAAGTGTGAAGGGCCAAACAGCTGAATAAGAATAGGCATACAGCTATAGGTATACAAATACAGATAAGATGTGAAAGGAGCCCGTGAAACAAAACCAAGTGATGTGAAAAGAGTAAATGTATGTGTGTATTTAATTATTATAAGGCTCTTATATACACATATATTTCCTATTACAGAAAAGTAATCCAGAAGAGAAAGAAAATTGCAGAGTTTGAGAAAATTCTTATAGCCAGGCTCCGAAAACTTCACAAAGGATGTCTTTAACATCTCAGTGTCTTCCACTGGGGGTAGCAGTTACACCCAATTTTATGCAAAATGTGCCATGGGGCTGAGCTTCGGGGTATAACTCAGTGGGAGGGTGCATGCTTAGCATGCACGAGGTCCTGGGTTCAATCCCCCATGCCTCCATTAAAAAAAAAAAAAAGTGCCATAGCCCTAAGAAGGCTTCCGAGTGATTTTTATGAAGCCAGCATAACAAAACCTGACCAAACACATCAATGAATACCAGTGCAAAAATCCCAAGTAAACAGTAGCACATACATTACAGAAGCACAGTAAACAATACAATCCTACTCTATTTCACTAGGACAGTCTTTCTTCCACTTTCTTAAGATGACTGTTGGACACCTCTGCTCTCCCCTGACCTCCCCAATCTCAGCTGGTAGCCTCGCTGCTTTGTTCACATAGAAGAAATTACATGAGGAATTTGCCCATCTTGGCCCCTGACCTGCCCATCTTGGGACCCTGACCCCATGCCTTCTCTCCTGATGGCCCAGGGTCCCCTCTCCCCTCTCCTACGTACTTCTTCCTTCCTGCATGTGTCCTTTCTCTGTCCTGCACTCTCTCTTCTCTACTAAATTATCGCCATTAGCAGCATGCAAAGGCATCTTAAAAAGCTCCCCCTTCACCCTGCACCCCACCAGCTACTGAACCATCTCTCCTGTGACCTCTGCAGCAGATGTC